GTGATGCCATCCACATTACGGAAATTGAGACTAACATTGAATGTGACACTTTCATCCCTGCCGTTGATATGTCTGTCTTCCTGCCATGGTACTCATCTTTCCCGTTGGTGGAAAACAACATTTGCTATTCTTTCACTACTTATGTTCGTGTGAAGAATATTACAATTGAACCCCTTAGTCAGGCCAATGGTCTGAAATCTGATAATAGCTTGAATTTTGATAAGTTTGAGGTGAAGAAATTCTCTTTCCTGCCTAAGATGATTTTTGAGAAACATGAGGAGTATTTCTATCTGAGACTGGTTCAAGACATTATCTCTGATGGCACTTCTAAAGATGACAGGACAGGGACTGGTACTCTATCAAAATTTGGTTGCCAGGTAATGTGAAACTTATGTCACATGGGCACTACTTTTTTATTTCAATTCTGAAGGACACTTGCAAAAATATCTTGTGAATGGAGATGTTTGATGTTCTTTGCCATTTTTTCCACAGATGCGGTTCAATCTGCGTAAATCTTTTCCGCTTCTTACGACTAAGGCATGTTTAATTTATCTTCTTGTGTTTTTTTTTTTTTTTTTCAGTTGCAAGTTGATTATATTAGTCTCTTCAATGACCTAACATTCTGTTTAGTTATTCTTTCATATAGGTTGACATATGTCCCGTCATTGTTGTTAAATAGAAAGTATTTTGGCGAGGTGTTGTTGAGGAACTTCTGTGGTTCATCAGCGGCTCGACAAATGCTAAGCTAACTGCTGCTGTTGAACATTTCGTTTATGTGTTTTATTTCCCTTTCAAATCCTTATATACATAATGTGACTAGGCTGGAGCATGTTGGTTTTGTAACTTATTTATGAAGTTGTTCATTCAATCAAAAAGTTCATTTAAAGATTTTTTTGTTTGGGTTTGATTGCTCATGTAGTTCAAATGGATGATTTATTAAATGCTTCTAGTGGTATCGTAGCTTCAAGTGTATGCAACTTTGTAGTTGAGGCTGAAGGAGAACTCTGATGAGAACTTTAGAAACTTAAATTGGAGGACTCGAGACTATTTGTGGGACTTGTGATATGCATGCATCATGATCTGGACCTTCCCTTATGGATTTTATATGTATTTCTATTGTAAAGTAAAATCACAATTCTTTAATATAGATGCAAGAGGGCTGTTGGAGGATATCACTGCTTCTTGGACCTTGAGATAATGTGTGGCCTTAGAATTTTTTGGGAACACTTTTTTTTCTCTCTTTTTTCAGATAAATGTTTGGATGTTCTTGGATGGGGGTTCCAGTCATGATGTGAAGGTGATATCAGTTATGTTGTTGAAGTGTGGTTGTACTTGATAGGTAAATTGTTTGTTGAGTAGCTTTACAAGGCTGACGTCCTTAAACTTGAAGTTGCTTTTTATTTGGCAATGTTTTCTGTAGGTCGTTTCACACAAGCATCGAGACGGGGTCACTGTTAGTATTTCCTAAAGAGCAAGAAATTCATACCTAGAAATGAGGAAAGTTTGTGCAAAGAAAACCCTAGTTTGTGTGAGATTACTAATTCTTTAGTAGATGCTTATAATTGTCTGGACATTATGAAGAGAACCTTTACAATTTAACTTACATCCCAAAAGGACCATCCATGCAGGATTTCAAGAAATCTCTATTTTGAATGGTACATTTGTTTTTATCTATTTTTATAATCATTTTAAAATCTGTTTTCGTCTGATCAGAAGTCTGTAAAAATAATTGCTTTGTGCCTTCAAACCATGTGACAAAACAAATGGAACCATATATATGATATTATGGTGTATTAGGATTGCATAGCTTTTGTTGTTAACAGGTCCTACAGGGAAAGGGCATTCATATATGGGACGGAAATGCATCCAGAGACTACCTTGATAGGCAAGTACAGAGCTATTGCTACTGTTTAGTTCTAATGTTACCTATACAAATTTACTTGATTGATTTTTTTTTTATTATTTATTTATTATTATTATTTTTTTTTTCAGTATTGGTTTAGTTGATAGAGAAGAAGGTGACTTAGGTCCTGTTTATGGTTTCCAGTAGAGACACTTTGGTGCTAGGTTGGTGAATTTTATTCTTTATCAAGTATAGTTGGTTGATTGCACATTCACTGATGGAACTATCTTCATTTTTTCATCTGTGGGACTTGTGAAATACAGGTATACAAACATGCATGCTGACTACACTGGCCTTGGATTTGATCAGTTGTCAGATGTTATTGACAAGATTAAGAATAAACCAGATGATCGGCGGATCATTCTATCAGCTTGGAACCCCTCTGATCTCAAATTGATGGCACTTCCCCCTTGCCACATGTTTGCTCAGGTATTTAAAGAAGTTCATCTGTATTTTTCTATTACTTCTCTTTGTCTGAGTAAACTCTCTCTTTCTTTCCCTTTTTATTTATTTGTGGGTGCAGTTCTATGTAGCCAACGGGGAGTTATCGTGTCAAATGTATCAGCGCTCTGCTGACATGGGTCTGGGTGTGCCATTTAACATTGCATCTTATTCCCTCTTGACATTCATGATTGCTCACATTTGTGGTATGTGTTAATAACACCACTATAACAAGTTCTATGCATATGTTTAAAAGTAAACATTCTATGGCACACTCACATCTGATGTGTTGATGCACGTGGATTTCTTTGGCATGCATCATGTTAAAGAACTTGCTTGGATAATTAAAGAATGAAAGTGTCATCTTACCCACCATACCCATTAGTTATCTGTAGTTTAGTCCGATTAAATATACCTTGACTTTGGGTTATGTGTTAAGAATTTGTTTTGATTCCTTTTTATTTGTACAGATCTTGTTCCAGGCGATTTTGTCCATGTTATTGGGGATGCTCATGTTTATCGCACTCATGTCGGACCTTTGCAGGAGCAGCTTCAGAAACGACCTAAACCTTTTCCAGTAAGTGTAATCTATCAACTGACTATTGTTGCGGTGTGGAAGAAGTATTGTTTCCTTTCACTTACCCTTCTTTTCATAGTTTTTGGAATTCCTATTCCACACCCTTCTAATTATACTATTTTTACATGCAGATTTTGAAGATCAATCCTGAGAAGAAGGATATAGATTCCTTTGTGGCAGATGACGTTAAACTCATGTGTTACGATCCTCACCAGAAAATTGAAATGAAAATGGCGGTGTAGAGTTACTACTATGTGGAAGATATGTTGTTCCCTCTTGTCAAAACAATATCTGCTCTAAGTTTGAGGCAAGTACCTAATTTTTCAGCCTCCATTCCTGTCCTTCCAAGATTAGTGCCTCACAAAAACTCGTAAATCATGTTAATCAGTTCAAATTATGCTATAGCTGTCTACAGTGAACTATGATTTTAGCTATAAGTTTTGGTCATGATTCATGTAAATGGGCCTTTATGCTAATTGGTCAACACCATTATGATATTGGTTGATATACAAGTGCCATGTCTCCTTTTAAAGGTGAAAATGTTTACTTTTATTGATTTAACCGACCATAATTGATCAAGAAAAATATGAGGTGTTAGTCCAAACTAATAAATAATTTTCCTCACATACCCCACTGCCCTTTTCTTCTCGTACCACCACTACACACATATATTAATGAGCCCCCAAAGTAATGTAAAGCAGTTCATTGTATAAATAATTAATAGGAACAATAAACATCAAGTTATGCACTGTTTATATCAATGTATTTTGTTTGCTACCAGGATGGTGTATCCGGCTGCTGTAAGGTGCTTACATCATCAGTTTCCTTACCTACCATCAAAAAGTTATCTTCCCTTCACAATCAAATGTTTATTTCATCATATAGCCCAAACCCTCTGGGTTCGCCTTATTTTTTTTTGTAAAAGCAGCTGTTGGGTTTTGGTATTGAAAAGCAGGTGTTTTAAGCTTTTGGTAACCTAAGTTTTGAAATTTATTTTTGGAAACCTTAAAAGTTCCATGTTTTTCAAAAAAGCTGAAAATCCTGTTTTTTTGGGGGCGTCTGGCTTATCAGTTTTTGGGCAAACAAAGCAGCTAATAAAAAGACACTAAAAGTCCATGTTATGACTTCAAATGTTGTCTGAAAGGTCCCTCAGTTGGATATGTATTGTTGATTTCCTACTTGTTTGCTTTTGCAGTCTCCATAAAGACAAGAATTTGCACTGCCTCGTGTAAAATGTTTAGAGTGCTCAGAAAACGTTTTGAGTTTTATGTGTTGTCACCAACTTTTGAGTTTTGATGGCGTATAAATTTTATTTTAGTCATCTAATTATGTCTAAAATGGTGATAATAACTTGAGTCTTTGAAATTGGTTGATGATGCAGGCACAGCTGCCAGAGGGTTTTGTCAGCATAGACTTTTGCGTACAAATAAAGAACTGCTAGCGGGATATTACCCAAATTATTACATATGTAGGGACTAAGAATCCTTTAGTTTGACACAGAAATAGTGGATCTAAGGTGATTTAGGATTTTGTGTTGTGTTTGGTTTGGTTTGGTTTGGTTTGGGCCTGTTATATGAAGTTTACACCTTTTTAAGTGCTGCATATACCAGTGTACCGATGAACAGACTTGGATTATGAGTTCTTCCCAGTTCTCTCTTTATTACAGATTGCTAAACCTAGAGATGTTTTGACGACCTCAATTGATGTGGTGGGAGACACAGGATATCAGAAAAAATTTGATTTGGTTTGAATTTTGTTTGTGTTTTTCCCCCAAAATGCTTTTAATGGATTGAGGATTGAATTTTCAAGTTCTTCCTAGCTCTCTTTATTTGTTTTTGTTTGTCTATTGTAGTGCTTCATATTAAATATAGTTTTTATTCAACGTATAATATAATATATCATAAATAATATAATTTTTATATCTAAAATAAAAATAACTTATTTTATCATGTATAATTTAATTTATTTTATATCTAAAATAATTTTTATTTGTTATTTATATAATATAACTCATCTTCATATAATAAATATTTTTAAAAAAAAAAAGCTATTTAACGTATCCCCATACCCGTATCCAAATTTGGATACATATCCACGTATCCTTAATTTTTAATTTTGAAGTGTCCGATCCTTAGATACGCACCCGTACCCGATACCCGTATCCGAGTCCGTGTAACCTAGGACGGGGTCACTGTTAGTATTTCCTGAAGAGCAAGAAATTCATACCTAGAAATGAGGAAAGTTTGTGCAAAGAAAACCCTAGTTTGTGTGAGATGCCTAATTCTTTAGTAGATGCTTATAATTGTCTGGACATTATGAAGAGAACCTTTGCAATTTAACTTACATCCCAAAAGGACCATCCATGCAGGATTTCAAGAAATCTCTATTTTGAATGGTACATTTGTTTTTGTCTATTTTAAAATCTGTTTTCGTCTGATTAGAAGTCCGTAAAAATAATTGCTTCGTGCCGTTAAACCATGTGACAAAACAAATGGAACCATATATATGATATTATGGTGTATTAGGATTGCATATTGAGCTTTTGTTGTTAACAGGTCCTACAGGAAAAGGGCATTCATATATGGGACGGAAATGCATCCAGAGACTACCTTGATAGGCAAGTACAGAGCTATTGCTACTGTTTAGTTCTAATGTTACCTATACAAATTTACTTGATTGATTTTTTTTTTATTATTTATTTATTATTATTATTTTTTTTTTCAGTATTGGTTTAGTTGATAGAGAAGAAGGTGACTTAGGTCCTGTTTATGGTTTCCAGTAGAGACACTTTGGTGCTAGGTTGGTGAATTTTATTCTTTATCAAGTATAGTTGGTTGATTGCACATTCACTGATGGAACTATCTTCATTTTTTCATCTGTGGGACTTGTGAAATACAGGTATACAAACATGCATGCTGACTACACTGGCCTTGGATTTGATCAGTTGTCAGATGTTATTGACAAGATTAAGAATAAACCAGATGATTGGCAAATTATTCTATCAGCTTGGAGCCCCTCTGATCTCAAATTGATGGCACTTCCCCCTTGCCACGTGTTTGCTCAGGTATTTAAAGAAGTTCATCTGTATTTTTCTATTACTTCTCTTTGTCTGAGTAAACTTTCTCTTTCTTTCCCTTCATATTTATTTGTGGGTGCAGTTCTACGTAGCCAACGGGAAGTTATCGTGTCAAATGTATCAGCGCTCTGCTGACATGGGTCTGGGTGTGCCATTTAACATTGCATCTTATGCCCTCTTGACATTCATGATTGCTCACATTTGTGGTATGTGTTAATAACACCACTATAACTAGTTCTATGCATATGTTTAAAAGTAAACGTTCTATGGCACACTCACATCTGATGTGTTGACGCACGTGGATTTCTTTAGCATGCATCATGTTAAGAACTTGCTTGGATAATTAAAGAATGAAAGTGTCATCTTCCCCACCATACCCATTAGTTATCTGTAGTTTAGTCCGATTAAATATACCTTGACTTTGGGTTATGTGTTAAGAATTTGTTTTGATTCCTTTTTATTTGTACAGATCTTGTTCCAGGCAATTTTGTCCATGTTATTGGGGATGCTCATGTTTATCGCACTCATGTCAGACCTTTGCAGGAGCAGCTTCAGAAAGTACCTAAACCTTTTCCAGTAAGTGTAATCTATCAACTGACTATTGTTGCGGTGTGGAAGAAGTATTGTTTCCTTTCACTTACCCTTCTTTTCATAGTTTTTGGAATTCCTATTCCACACCCTTCTAATTATACTATTTTTACATGCAGATTTTGAAGATCAATCCTGAGAAGAAGGATATAGATTCCTTTGTGGCAGATGACTTTAAACTCATGTGTTATGATCCTCACCAGAAAATTGAAATGAAAATGGCGGCGTAGAGTTACTACTATGTGGAAGATATGTTGTTCCCTGTTGTCAAAACAATATCTGCTCTTAAGTTTGAGGCAAGTACCTAATTTTTCAGCCTCCATTCCTGTCCTTCCAGGATTAGTGCCTCACAAAAACTCATAAATCATGTTAATCAGTTCAAATTATGCTATAGCTGTCTACAGTCAACTATGATTTTAGCTATAAGTTTTGGTCATGATTCATGTAAATGGGCCTTTATGCTAATTGGTCAACACCATTATGATATTGGTTGATATACAAGTGCCATGTCTCCTTTTAAAGGTGAAAATGTTTACTTTTATTGATTTAACCGACCATAATTGATCAAGAAAAATATGAGGTGTTAGTCCAAACTAATAAATAATTTTCCTCACATACCCCACTGCCCTTTTCTTCTCGTACCACCACTACACACATATATTAATGAGCCCCCCAAGTAATGTAAAGCAGTTCATTGTATAAATAATTAATAGGAACAATAAACATCAAGTTATGCACTGTTTATATCAATGTATTTTGTTTGCTACCAGGATGGTGTATCCGGCTGCTGTAAGGTGCTTACATCATCAGTTTCCTTACCTACCATCAAAAAGTTATCTTCCCTTCACAATCAAATGTTTATTTCATCATATAGCCCAAACCCTCTGGGTTCGCCTAATTTTTTTTGTAAAAGCAGCTGTTGGGTTTTGGTATTGAAAAGCAGCTGTTTTAGGCTTTTGGTAACATAAGTTTTGAAATTTATTTTTGGAACCTTAAAAGTTCCATGTTTTTACAAAAAGCAGAAAATCCTGTTTTTTTGGGGGTGTCTGGCTTATCAGTTTTTGGGCAAACAAAGCAGCTAATAAAAAGACACTAAAAGTCCATGTTATGACTTCAAATGTTGTCTGAAAGGTCCCTCAGTTAGATATGTATTGTTGATTTCCTACTTGTTTGCTTTTGCAGTCTCCATAAAGACAAGAATTTGCAGTGCCTCGTGTATAAAATGTTTAGAGTGCTCAGAAAACGTTTTGAGTTTTATGTGTTGTCACCAACTTTTGAGTTTTGATGGCGTATGAATTTGATTTTAGTCATCTAATTATGTCTAAAATGGTGATAATAAATTGAGTCTCGGAAATTGGTTGATGATGCAGGCACAGCTGCCGGAGGGTTTTGTCAGCATAGATTTTTACGTACAAATAAAGAACTGCTAGCGGGATATTACCAATTATTACATATGTGGGGACTGAGAATCCTTTAGTTTGACACAGAAATAGTGGATCTAAGGTGATTTAGGATTTTGTGTTTGGTTTGGTTTGGTTTGGACCTGTTATATGAAGTTTACACCTTTTTAAGTGCTGTATATACCAGTGTACCGATGAACAGACTTGGATTATGAGTTCTTCCCAGTTCTCTCTTTATTACAGATTGCTAAACCTAGAGATGTTTTGATGACCTCAATTGATGTGGTGGGAGACACAGGATATCAGAAAAAATTTGATTTGGTTTGAATTTTGTTTCTGTTTTTCCCCCAAAATGCTTTTAATGGATTGAGGATTGAATTTTCAAGTTCTTCCTAGCTCTCTTTATTTGTTTTTGTTTGTCTATTGTAGTGCTTCATATTAAATATAGTTTTTATTCAACATTCTACTTAAATTAAAGTAAAAATTTGAGTAAAGTCTCAATATGTTTCAAGTGTATATTGAAGTTTGCATCATATTATTGCTTGAGGTTCAATCACATGAACACAAACAAATTAAAGTGGTAAAATATAGCTGAATATGAATAAAATTCTTCCAAGTCTAAAAATCTTTAGAATATATGCAGTATTTGTAGATCTCCAAGCTTGTCCTAGACCTGGGTTATGATACTTTGTCTTCAAAATCTCTCTCTCTCTCTCTCTCTCTACACTTCAAATTGCTTGATACTTAGAAATCTCAAAATACAGAAATTAGCAATAGTCACATGTACGATCCTCAATAAAAAAGAACAAAATGTAATGTGTTTGGAAGCATAATTATATAGTTTGGAGTGTAGACGGAGACCAAAAAAGAAAAAAAAGAAAGCTAGAGAAACTAAAAAATATCAAGGAAAACAAACGTGTGATTTACATTCATTATTCGGGTGGCCAGTGAGTCTTCTGATACAAATGTTAAATCTGGATCATACTTATTTATTTATTTTGTTTTTTGAGTTTTTGGTTTATAGAATTACTCAACAAAAGCTCCTCTACCTCATGGCTGCATTTTGTGCCCCATCAAAGAACAGAAAATATTTGAGACCCCTCAAATAGTTCTAATTTGATTCATAAAGAGGTGACGTGATATGTGTTAATTTTTTATTTATTAGACCATGTCCAACGGATCATCAGATGTATCACAAAATTCAAATTTGATGAAAAAGATGTACTTTTTGTACTTCAATGGTTTCACCAAAATAGTATCAAATTTAGAAAATATTAAATGTTTCACCAAACTAAGGATCTGGGAAGCGTTTACCAGTTTACTGACCTGACACACCGGACAACCGGCCAAATGTCCGGCCGGTTGTTCCTCCGGTCATCTGGTTGCTTCAAGAATTCCCACAAAAATAAGTCTAGGGTGAGGGTTGAAAAAATGGTTTATGCGATCATGACCTTTGGCTAACTTTGAGCCTAAATTGAGATAGGTTCCGGACACCGATTGAGGTGTGTCCGGGTGGAAACGCGTTCTTTGTTGGGTGGTGATTCACTTCGTATATTTAGTTGTTCAAACCATTTTCCGAGTGGACGCGAAATTGACTCCGAAAGGGACTTCGGCAACAATGTAATTGCTCTGTTTTCTTCATCATCATTTTGCTTTCTGTTGATCGCAGAACACTAAATTTTTTTGGTTGTGTTTGCAGTGTTCATTTGAGACTGAAGTAAACAAAACAATTTGTAATCTTAGGAGGTCAGCCAACCTTAAATTTTCCCCTAGGCTAGTTAAAGAAAATCCTAAAAAGTTCACAAAAATAAGAATGATTCCCACTCTACCCATAAAAAATAACAGTAACAATAAACAATCAAAGGTTGCCACAAAAATGTTTTTGTTTCGAATCTAAAGCCACAGGAACCGACTCATCACCCCCAAAAGACGAACAAATTTAACCTAATAAAATAAAAAATTGACATAAAAACAGAATGAAATTATGACAACAATTACAATGAGAAACAAAAATTAAGCAACAACAGCTTAATCTGTAGCACTTTGATGTCCAATAGCTATTCAGGTTTACGAATAACATACATATTTGTAGAGACAGAGAGAGAGAGAGAGAGGGTACCCATATCTCAAAATTGCCGAAAAAGGTATCCAAGAGCTTGCGAAAGGCTTGTCCCATAGCGGATTTTGATCAGTGATTACTCTCTCTCTCTCTCTCCCCCTCAAAGGATCAGATTGAGCTCAAGAAAGCGTCGACGATCGAACTTTTTTTTATCAGCGGTTACTTTCTTTGCGCTGACCGGTCGACCGGTCGACTGGCCAACCGGTAGTTTGATGAAAAGCCAAATGCTTCCGTTGGAGTAGACGATATCAAACTGAGCTTTTACTCAAATTTTGTGAAAAAAAATAATGCACAGTTGGAGATACTCTTAGTCATTCAATTATATAAGGTTCTACTGCCTCATCACATCATTGTGATCGAATATAGAAATCTAAATCATGAGTCTCTAGCATTTCTCCATCAACACTTTCCCCTTCTTCCTCTGCATTCTTGTTGCTAATCTCTTCTACATCATCTTCTTTTTGGTCTAGTTTTTTTGCCTCCATTTCTCCAGCCACCCTCTTCTTCTCTATGAGGAACTCAACCAAGCCTTGCAATACACTTTCAGGATCCTCATTCTTCAGTAGTTGCTTCCCAATTTCTGCTGGGGTCACCATTATCTTCCCCAACAAACCTTCAATTTCAGGAAAAAGAGAGTGCTCATTGAGCCCAAGATAATTTGCAGCTAGGGTTTTGAATTTACAAGGGCTGCAATAAGACATGTGAATGTGCACATCCATCTGGCCAGGGCGTAACCGAGCCAGGTCTAGCCTTTCTTTGTGATTAGTCGTGAACATGATGATTCGCTCATCTCCACAGCTCAACCACAGTCCATCGATGAAATTTAACAATCCTGATAGTGTTACTACGATAAGACGGAAAAAAAAGGTGAAATTTAACAGTGGGACTATGGTGTGTATGATTTTTGCATTTTTTGGGAAGTGTTATATGCAAAAAAAAGTTTTCTAGGTGATGTCCTAGTAGCTGTGGTAGTGGTGTGTTGGCAGGATGGTGAAGGTGGCGGCGGTGGCAATGGTAGTGTTAATAGTAGTGGTCGTGGTATGGTGGTAATGTTGCTGACAATAGTGGTCACATAGATAAATATAGTCTAAAAATTGTTTTTCACCTTTTTAGAAAGCATTTTACGCCCATACAACCTTGTTTTCATTGACTTTCATGTGCAGTTATATCAAACATTAAAAAATATAAATAAAAAAAAAACATTTTTCAGAAAACGTTTTTCAAAAAAGCCCAAGAATGAAATCTATGAATGTGGCAAGAGGATCAAGAAGATGATCTATGTAACTAAGAAAAAAAAAACAAAATGGAACAAGGACTTGCTTGGTTTTCTTTCTTTTCCCTAACAATATTAATAGTCTGAGCATGCCTTACTTCATTAGATTGAAGCATCCTCAAAACTGCCCTTTGATCTTCCAAGTCAATGCTACAATCTATGTCCTCAACAAGAAGTACACACCGATTTGCCATCACAATCAACAACTTCCTCAGCTCAAAATTGTCATGTATATCAGTCCCAAATCATACAAACCAGACTTTAGGTAATTTGCTATTGCAGCAATCAAGCACGATTTTCTTGTCCCCGGTGGCCCATACAACAAGTACCCACGTTTCCAAGCCTCCAATAAAAGTCTTTTCACCTCACAAACCTCTCTAGATCCTCCTTCACCATCCTCTTCATCTCGCCGTCCATTGCCAATGTCTCAAATGTGGATGGATGGTCAAGATTTATTGAATCCCAAGTATAACTCATGTCTGAGTACATCCGCGCGTGTGCATTATTCAAAGTATGCATCTTTAAAGCCTTTCTCTCATCTTTCAAATTCATTGCCTCTTTTAGTATAAAAGGAAAATATGAGTTCAAAATGCCGATTTTCTGATCGTGATGACGCGGTTGAGTATTGATCCGGGTACATAGCTTGCTTGGATTCAGTGTCTATTTCGACTTGACACCATTTGAATTGAACCCCATTGAAATTGTCTATCATTGATTGATTTTTCGCCATGGAAGTCGAAATCTTTGTCTCTTTCTCGGGTATGCTCACTTTGTACAATTGGGTATTGAGAGAGATTTTGGATCCCAAATAGATTTGAGTAGCTTTGTAGATTTGATTCCCAACAAGCCCATCAAATTCTTCAATGATCAAGACTACTTCAGATGAGAGACTTGAAAATGGTTCAGATTTTCGAGAAGAGATAGTATTGAAGCTCATATGGGACCAAATCGCAGACAATTGATCAGACCAACTATAACGCCCTACTACTTGCTGGCCCAAATAACTTGTGGGTCAACCAACAATACCCAAAAGCTTAAGTCCAAATTATTTAGTAGCAAGGTAGTGGTGTTTTATATGCCTAAGAACACCCATGCAAACTTCTGATGTGGGACAGGGTGTTACAAACTCCCCCACTTATAAATCCTCGCGTCCTCACGAGGGTCTATAACCAATCAGAATACCACGACAAGCTCGTGGCCAGCCCAGAATAAGTGGCCCACATGGTTGTATGCATGGGTCGGCTCTGATACCATTTGTAACGCCCCACTACTTGCTGGCCTAAATAACTTGTGGGTCGACCAACAATACCCAAAAGCTTAAGTCCAAGTTATTTAGTAGCAAGGTAGCGGTGCTTTATATGCCCAAGAACACCCATGCAAACTTCCGATGTGGGACAGGGTGTTACAAACTAACGCCCCACTACTTGCTTGTAATGACCCCAAAAATGCGTATAGAAAGTTATCCTTATTTAATTAGGGGTTAGGGGTTAATGTGTTTGCTATTGGAATTAAAGAACTATCCGTTGAGTTATGTTTTTGAAACTGGAATTGGTGACCTTACCAAACAATCTGGAACTTTTTCCCTCCGCTCGAGCGGAGCAGTAGGCGCTCGAGCGTACTTTTGGGGTTTCTAGCAAATTGTGCAGACGGCTTGAGATTCTGGGAGTTGTGATTTTCCGCTCGAGCGGGGGAGTTGACGCTCAAGCGGACGTCTTTGTTGGTCTTCGCGCTCGAGCGCAAGGTTGGGCGCTCGAGTGGGTCTCCAAGTTGTGTTGTATTTCTGAGGCACAGGGGTTCATTTTTGGACATTTTTATTAGTTTTTTGGAACTTTCTATTTTATTTTGGAGTATTGGTTGAGTTGGTAATATGATGGTAAAGTAAGATTGGACTAAAAGCTTGAATTAGAATGATTTGTCTGCGACCAGCCATCACTCT